TTTTAATATTGTTATTTAATAATTAAAAATTAATGTACATTAATATTTTATATATTATAATTAATTATAAATTTATAAAATTAATTTATAATAATTTTAGGCCACCATAATCTATATATTTACATGGCCCCTAGGCCATAACATGGCCGGCATCGATGGGGTAAAAATTAAAGTTTACGGTAAATCCGTACTGAAAAAAAGAAAAGTAACCAAGATCCCCCTAAGAAAATTTGTATGCGTACGGCTACGGAGGGCGAGATTCTCCCCTACGCACCGTTTATTCTATAATAATCGGAGCGTGTAATGCACGGAGAGTTACTAGGAGTGGGCTTCTTGGTGTTGTAATTAATAGTTTCTCTTTTTTTTTTTTTTTTTTTAAGAAACAGTTTGTGGTTTTGCACAGTAAGGAACATTAATGATGGATTAGTTTGAAATTAAATAATGTATTTACTGAAAATGCCCCTGCCCCCTTGTATTCCACTTCTCTTTAAGTACCCCCAACTTCCTTTCCTTTCTCTACACCATCCTTCCCCTTCCTAGAGTTAAAGCCTCTGTTTTTTCTCTGTTTTTTCTGCAGTGAGAGAATGGCTGTAGTTAGTTTCACCTGCATTGTGTCTCTTATATCCCTAATGTGGGTAGCTGAAGCAAGAATCCCTGGAGTTTACAGTGGAGGTTCATGGCAGAATGCTCATGCTACCTTCTATGGAGGATCTGATGCTTCTGGCACCATGGGTACGTGTCTTTTTTTTTTTGTTTTTTTCCACCTCATTGTTCCATATTTCTGGGAGGTCTCACATTTCTTGGGGGTTTTCAGAGTTTGGGGCTTAATTCAGTAGTCAAAGTTTGTTCCTTTTACTGTTTTTTGCTACATTCATTTTCCTACAAATTTACCCCATTTCAGATATATGCTAATAGTCCACATTTTAGGTCTCAATTCTCAGTGTCCTCACAGTGTCCTCCAGTCACCCTGAGAAAGTTCCCATTTTTGAACACTAAATTCCTTGTCATGCAGGGAACTGAGAAGTCCAATTGCAATTTCTACTAGTATACTACACAGTGTATAACCCTTGAATAGACCTTTTCAAAAAGTGATTTTTGGAAATTTGTAAAATTTACTATACCTCTTAAAAAGTTGCAAAAATCGTATGTACTACTAGTAAGTTTTAACTATCAACTTCCTAAACCACCCAAAAAAGTTTTAAATTAGCTTTTGCAGTATACAACATTACCACATTTTTTCATAAAAATTTCTACTTTATAATCAATCTTTTACAGGAGGGGCTTGTGGATATGGAAATCTCTACAGTCAGGGCTACGGCGTTAACACGGCCGCACTAAGCACTGCCCTTTTCAACAACGGTCTTAGCTGCGGCGCGTGCTTCGAAATCAAGTGCGCCAATGACAAGCAATGGTGCCATTCTGGAAGCCCTTCCATCTTCGTCACGGCGACCAACTTCTGCCCGCCAAACTACGCCCTCCCCAACGACAATGGCGGCTGGTGCAACCCTCCCCGCTCCCACTTCGACCTCGCCATGCCCATGTTCCTCAAGATCGCCGAGTACCGCGCTGGCATCGTCCCCGTCTCCTACCGCCGGTAAGCTCCCCACAACCATCTCTGTTCCTCCCTCTGTTTCCATGGATGTGGGTGGGTCGGGTTCTGCTATATTCGTCTTTACCCGCCTTAACCGTATGTCCGAAAGTGTTTTGTTAATCTACATTATTATGTATATTTTAGTGTTAATCAAGACCCTTGATGGGTTAATCCGTATTTTGACCATCACATCAAACGGATACACTTTTTTCCATGTAAGTAAAAATAGACAACCATTAGGACATGGGAGCAACTCAAATATTAAGTGTCAAATAGTTAATTTTTTACATTTTAAATAAATATGAATTTTTTATTATGTTATAATAAATATATTTTTTATAAGTAAATTTTATTAAAAGTATAAATATTATTTTTAATTTAATTAATTAATTAAAATTATTTACTTGTCCTATCAAAATATATATTAATTTTTAATATAAATTAATAAAAAATACATTTATTATAAGTTTATATTGTGATTTTAAAATATAAATTAAACAAATTTAATAAATAGTAGTAGGTTGAACAATATCAAATTTTACAATACTTTTATAAATAAAATCTGTAACACAGTCTACGAAGTCTTATTCACTTTTCCCAACGTGAAACATAGAAAAAAAAAAAAATAAAGGAAGAAGAAAGTAAAATGAAAAACGCATTTTTTTGTCCGTTGATTTTGTTGGGTTTATTCCCACAATCATGCTCCGCGTTTCAGGCTAACATTGCTAGCTATGTTTTGTAGTGACGGAGTTAACCTTTATGGTTTGGTGTTATTTACGCAGGGTGCCATGCCGGAAGAAGGGAGGAATAAGGTTCACGATTAACGGTTTCCGTTATTTCAACTTGGTTTTGATCACCAACGTGGCGGGTGCAGGGGATATCGTGAGGGCGCACGTGAAGGGGGCGAGGACTGGGTGGATGAGCATGAGCAGGAACTGGGGTCAGAACTGGCAGTCAAACGCGGTGCTGGTTGGACAGTCACTGTCGTTCAGGGTGACAGGCAGTGACAGACGCACCTCCACCTCGTGGAACATCGTTCCCGCGCATTGGCAGTTCGGTCAAACATTCACGGGAAAGAATTTCAGAGTTTGATGGAAGATATTTATTATATATATATATATATATGATTTGGACATCAAATGTCCGAAAATTTAACCCCAAATTACGTAAAAAAAAAAAACAATGCAAGTTTCCCGCCAGATCATTTTGCAGTTTTATGTTTTTGGCGCCAAAGGTTTTTGCTTGGGAGAATGTGGGAGTGGTTTTTAATGTTATTGTTATTATTGTTATTATATATTAAGGTTTAAGTTAGAAGGGAAGGAGAAATGGAAGTGTTACTGACTTTTTTCTCTTTTTTCTTTTTTTTAATATTTTGGATTGGTGGGTTTTGTTTTGTTGTGTGAAGTTTAGTTAGGGTTAAGGGAAAGGGGGGTGGGAGGAGAAGAGTTGTAGGGAAGGGGCTGAAGCGGCTGAAGGACATTGTAGCCCGCAGCCCTATGAAAAAAAAATGAATATATTGGAGAAGGTGAAAGTATTTGTGGTAACTTATGGTTGAATGAATTTGGATATAATTAATGTGGGTTATGTTTTCTACTATTTTCATTTCTTCTCCGTTTTGCCCATTATATGCATCTTTAATTTCATGGACCATGGAAAGCACCTATGTTTACTGCTCTTTAAATGGTAAATGATCTCAACAAACAAGGATGAAACCATTTCGACACATTTTGGTTGAAAAAAGTATGTATTTACATTAATGAGTTGCTAATTTGAATAAAAGAAGTGTGATGGGAAGAATTTAAGTTTGAATTTTATGAATTAAGAAATGGAATAAAAGAATTAATTTTGATTTTAAATTAGTTAAGATTTAAATATAATTTTTAAATACAAAAGTTAATATTAAAAAAAAAAAGGAAAAAGGAAAGTGTTTCCAGCTGCTAAAACATGAAAATGTGGTTATATTGCATATATAAAGGACATGGTCTTATGAGCAATTTCCTATAAATTTGGTTGGTTAGTCACTTTAGTGTTTTCCACTTGAAAGATGTGAAGATGGTAGCTAATAGTCTTAGGGGTGGGTGTAATAATTTTGTAATGTTGGACTGAGGTGCGAAGTACTGTGGTTCTTTATCTACTTTATACTCACGTGGTAAGTTTCTTGACTAGTGAGTAGTGACCCTCCACTAGGCCTCTGGCCCCAAGTCTAGAAGGTACGTTTCTCTTACGTGGTTTAATGGGAAACTTAAAAAGAACATTCTCCCATGTTACAAAATCAGACTCAACCCAATTTCCCCACTTATCCTTTTCAAACCAGCATCCCATTGTATGGTTAAGGTAGAAATAGAATCCTATTTGGTTGGGATCAGGTGCTTGGGAAGTAGAAGAATTCTCACCTCTGAAATCAAGATTCCAAGGTGACGAAATTGGAATGTTAGGATATGTGGTATTTGGATTTGTTTGGGGCATAAAGCCAAAAGACAATTTGAGTCCAAATTCTGTGGGTAGGTTCCGAAATAACATTAATTTTATTCCTTTCAGATAACCAAAAATTAAAAGAAAAAATTCAAACCCGTATGGTAAGAGAGTCACATCAGATGAAGGTGCAGTAGGGCTTGCAATAACCAGTCCTGCACATGGGTGGGGTTGAGGTTTTTTGTTGCTCTTTTCTTTCTTCGTTTTTTGTTTGTTTCAATGAGGGGATTAAACTTAGGATTCCCAATTACTCAAAAGGGAGGAGGAACCAAAGTAAAGGTGAGTCTTCGGATTCCCTTTGTACAAATTTCCCTTTTGTTATGGGTGGGCTCCACACGTTAAAACTTGCTTTTGTTATTTCAACAATTGAAATATGATATATATATATATATGATACCTATTCTATGTGCCATCATGCTATCACATGTACTAAAATTATTATTTTGTATTTAAAATAAATAAAAAATCAAAATCAATGTTTTTCTTAGGTCAATCCATTAATTGGGCTTTGCTTGATATTAGGGATTGGGCTACAAGGACAAGGGCCCCAGATAAATGTCCTTTAAAAAAAATAGAGAAAAAAGAAGGGAGAGCTGTCTGGTTAACTTGGATAAAAATGAAAAAGGTGTATAACAATGAAGTTTAGTTGATAAAAAAAAAAAAAAAATCTAAACATGAGCATAATTTAGATACTTTTACGAAAGATAAAACAGTGATGCCTAAAACAAATTCCATACATTCAAATGCTCGAAGACCTTCAACAGTCAAGACTGCAATTGATTTCCTCCGACTATAAAGGGGAAAAAGTACCAACGAGCCATCTATGGAATGTGGTAATTACTAAATATATAGCTGAGAGTAGTTCCAGAAAAAACTGAACTAGTTAATTATTCTACCATGTCTGTGTAAACCATCTACTGACGACTTAGCCAAGTTTGGGAAAGGCAAAGTTATTAAGATTTCAGTAGTTCCATCTGATCAGTAATGGTAAAGATAACTCAGACAGCAACAGACCATAAAATGTTGCAACTCTTAAAATTAATGACCTCAAGGATGTACAGTTGAAGTTCTGATAAACACTCAAACCTGCTGAGTGCCGAGAGAAATGGAAAAGGATTAACTATAAACATATGTGCAATTTGAGAGATAAAGGTAATCATTTAATGAGATGTCAGGAGTTCCATCCAATCACATATGCTAGAGAAAATTCAGTAGGAGCAAAGAGATATGATATCTGATGAAATACCTTTTATTTTCTCCTCCTTTTAAGTTGTTTCCATTGATTCAGTATATGTACTGCTCCCTCACTCAGTGTTGCCCTCCTTCCTTCCTTGAAATTCCACAGCTCTGGTATTGGGTACCTACCACTTGGATTGTACTCATTCAATTCTTTCAAGGCAGTAATTACAGCATTGTATGCTTCATCACAGAACTCATTCTTCAGATTAATCAATTTTTGATCTTTTTCATTGATCATCTCCTGCACAACCTCTTGAAAGATGAAGCACTATGATAGCAGAAAGCGGAAGCATGGAAAAAATATATATACATATGAATCAAGAATGAAGTAAATATGCATTGAGGATAGATAACCAGCAATACTTAAAGAATTCATGAATCATGATAATAGTTTTTCCTAATACGAGTACATACAGTAGGATTTCCTTCATTGTCAGTGATAATCTTGAAAGGATGCCACTTTGGATCCATAAGACAATCCTCCCACATTGACGACAGTGCTGCTGCTTTCTCATCTGCCTCATCAGCTGGGTATCTTCTCTTGGCTGCGGTGTGGAATGGTTTATTGTCAAGCTCTCCCATCCTCTTGACACCAATATTGGCAGATGTTTTCACATCTTTTAAGCTCTGTTAAATATGAAAGCAATTCACATCAGCAATACTACATTGCTAAAGAAATTATACAATGACAAGTGTGAATGAGAAATAATCTTATATGGACCAATCCAAACGATGCCATATAAATCTTTCTCATTATTATTACATAGATTCTCCCATCCAGATGACATGATAAAAAAGTTAGCATGATCAACCAAAAGAAATCTTCCTGCTCATGCTTGCGAAACGGCATCAAAAAGGATGCCTTAGTTGCCCAGCAAAGATCACACGGGGATGAAAACAGTTGTAGGATAAGGAAGGCCATGCCATCACTGTTTGGATGATCTATATTTTGGGGTAAACTTTCGTATGAATGAATGTGTTGATAGTATCACCGTAACTTTATAATTTGCTCTTTTTGTACGGATAGTAGTACCCTTTGTACTCTAACTTAATAATACTATCTTTTTGCTGATAAAAAAAAAAGAAAAAAACTAAAAGAAATCTTCCTTGTTTCCATTTTTATAATTTATCAAATGTGTTCAAACTCTCTAGCCATAACAGAAAGTGTCCAAGATCAATATCCTTCATGAATGTTAGAAATCTATTTGTAGCTTTTTCCTGCTTTCTTTACAAACACATTAAAGCACAATTGCCTCAATGTGAAAAATAGAAATGTATATTTATTGACTTGTGCGTTTAAATAAATAGGACTATCAATTTTTTTTTTTTTAAAAAAATTTAACCTGCTAATTATTTTCCATACAAAAATTAGGAAAAAGGGAAAAAGGAGGTGCTTACTTACACTGACTAACTCCTTGCGAGCCTCTTGTAATTCATCATTGCATTTGCGTTCTTTGACAATGAGAGTTTGATTAAGTACTTCAAAATATTCCAATTCTTCTTCTTTTCGCTTTAAATTCTCCGCAATCTCAACCAGCTTTTGCTTTGTTTCTACATCTTCATCTTCTTCTCCCATATGTCTCACAACTTGTAAAGCTCCTTTCAAGCGTTCTATCTCCAATTTTAGAGCATGTTCCGCATCAACCTTCTTTTCCAGCTCAATGAATTTTTTGTGAAGTTGCTCCATTTCTCTCTAAAATAGGAAGCCATTCAAGAGAGCATATTAGAATATCATGAATAAGACAAAAGTCAGCTATTATATCAAATGTTCATCAAGATGAAGAATGCAGAAAAAACCTTCTGATCTTCAGCCAGCTTTAGCATATTCTCATTTGCCTTTTTCTGCTCCAGGGTTGCTCTCTCATTCTGCAAGAAGAAAAGGTGATAGCAACACATTTTATCAAATTTTCTGACCATCAATTCCCAGCCAAATAGAAAGCACAATGCCAATGCTCTCAAGCCAATAAAGCTTCTTGAAATACAGAAGGTGAAATTAACACATTTGAAATTGGTAAATAAAGCCAATGAAGCATTTATAGAACACATAAGCAGAGATACATACCATCTTCTTCTCGAGTTCTAGTTTTCTTCTCTCAGATTTATTATGGACTGCACGTTGCAGTAGTTCTTTCTCTTGCCGGTCCAATTCCCTTTGCTGATTTTTTAGATCCATTGTAATGTTCTCGTGCTCCAAGGAAATTTTCTTAAAATGATCATGAGAAGCCTGCCGCATTCTTTTTTTCTCTGATCAAACATAAATAAGAGGCAGGAAGTTACTATGAACATAAAAATTACAATTGAAATTTATTTAAAAAGAACCGAAAAAGTAATCTACATGTACCTTCATTGTAAGATTTAATCATTTCCTCCTTTTCTTCCATCACTTTGTTAACTGTTGCACTTGTCTCAAGATATTTACCTTCAATTTCCTTAAGGTGCAGATTCTTTGTCTTCAAAGTATTGGTAAGGCTTGATACCAGTGTCGCGGCTTTCCTTGCATCTTCAGCTTCTTTTCCAGAAACAGTTTTCAAATCTCCATGTTTACGAAGATAATTACCAACTGGACCTTCAAACCTGTAGTCATCATCACGTGCAACCCAGCCATACAATTTATCTCCTAGATGTCTTGAGGCAAAAAATTCCTTTTTGCCACAATGCTTGCTTTCAAAACTATTCTCAAACATTATTGCATTCTTAAGACCATCCCATTCTTTGTTGAATTCAACTATGGCAAATCCTGAATGCCCTTTTGTACTCCATATAGGATGAACCTTCAAAGGATTAAACCCTTTCATTGTCAGCTCCTCCTTGAGTCTTCTTCCACCTTCTCCTATTCTCCTTCCATCTTTATCCTCATGGGTTGGAATATTTGCAACAATGCCCATCCATGGATAGACAAAAAGTGGATCATCATCACAATATTGAGCACAACAATGCATGACTGGATGCAGCAGCTTCCTGCATTGTTTTCCAACCAAAA